ATTCGACGAATATTCGAAATTTGAATTTTTTTTTTGACAGCCCTACTGTACAGTACTTTGTATTATATCAGCTGTACATCAAATTACAAAAAAACTAGTGAACGCTAATGCGAGGGTGTTTCTAATGCAGCGTCTGTGGGAGGGACGGTAAATTTAAGCCAAACACAAAAGTGATGTCTGCACAACTGCTCCATAAAATTATTTTTTTTGCAATAAAATAATTTTATGGAGCAGTTATATTAGTGTGCGGACATCACGTTTGTTTTTCGCTTTAGTTTGACTTTTTTGTCCTGCACCTGAGCCATATGCATATCCATATAGCCCAAAGGTTTGTGGTAGGGCTGTCAAAAAAATAAAATAAAATAGAATTTCGAATATTCGTCGAATTTAAAATAAAAATCCACATTCTAATGCAAAAACGTTGCATTCAAATTTTAGGTGTGCGTTAAGAAGGCAGCTTTATCAGTGGCACACGAGATGTGATGACGATGTAAGTGTCGATGCATTATAATGTTTTTCTTAGCCTGTCCAGTTGAAGCCACTAGATGGCGCTGCTACGTTCATTCAAAATATTGCGGAAAAAGAGAACATCAATGTGGAGATGATGTTGTTTACGTCAAAACCGAAACCAAGCCGTTCACACAGAACACATATTTATCGCATTTTCTAGAAGGACATCTATCAGCGTTGCACTCGCATCTCGCACAAAGGAGCCACATATTTAGAAAGCCATGTAAAATTAATGTAAGTTTAGCTTTGAAAAAAACATATATCGAGACTTTATGGCGGGTTTTTTTCCCATCCCACTGCAACTCGTGTTTTTAAATGAGAAAATGTACTGTGTGTGATTGGCTTTCCGCCCTTTGTGTTAAACTATGCATACATACATGATGCTGTTTAGCCAAAAGCTTTTCTTTACCCTAACTGAAATTATGCATTTTAAATTAGAATATAATTCAAATTTTGATAATATTTAAGTACAAAATTCGAAATTGGTTTTTCAGCCATTTTGATAGCCCTAGTTTGTGGCATGTGCACACCTTTTTTGCAAATTTGGGACAGTAGATTTGACATCGTTCTCTCTTCTGACTGTCGTTATCAAAAAAAAAAAAACTAGAAAAAAATACTATGATAACTATCATAGTGCTATTACTGTTTACTCTATCATACACCGAACGCGTCATTCTGTACGTGCTTTCTCAGTTTAAATGCAGCGATCCAAAACAGTGAATCTAATCATCATTCAGGCAAAACTTTGCTTCAAGAATGAGCCACACTGCTGACGTGATCTAATCGCTACACACCCTGAGCACATGCGAGTTAACATATTCATCTTATTGTCAAGACATATCGGCATCATTTTTCATATCGGGCCGATGCCGATATTTACATTTAAAGCCATTATCGGCCGATTCCAATATCGGCTCGATAATATCGTGCATCCCTAGTGAAATTGTGAAATACTATTATTACAACGTATGATAGCTGTTTTCTATGTGAATATCTGTTAAACTGTAATGTATTTCTGTGATGCGCAGCTGTATTTTCAGCATCATTACTCCAGTCTTCAGTGTCACATGATCTTCAGAAATCATTCTAATATGCTGATTTGCTGCTCAACAAACATTTCTGATTATTATCAATGTTGAAAACAGTTGTGCTGCTTAATACTTTTGTGGAAACAGTCATGCATTTTATTTTTCAGGATGAATGGAAAGTTCAACAGTGTTTATATGAATCTTTTGTGATATCATGAATGTCTTGACTGTCTCTCGCCGGTCTTACTCTGGCTCTTTGATGAGCAGGCTCTTGATGAAGTGGATGGCGGCTCTGTCCAGATGCTGCAGCTCCTCCTCCGTGTAGCTGATGTTGATCTGAGAGATGTTGAGGAAGGTCTCCTGCTTATCGTCCCCCAGGAACGGCGAGATCCCCGTCAGCATCACGTACGCCAGGACACCGATGCTCCTGTCAGACGGAGGAGGATCAGCATGCTCAAGCTAACACAACACACCTGTTTATTAGGGCTGCGATGATAAATCAATGCAGAATCGATTCGTGAATGGATTCTGAGATCTTACGAATGCATTGCGATTCTTTCTCGAGTCGAATCTGAGCTTAGATTTTAACAGCAGATGGCGCTCTAATCTAGTTTTTATCCGCACACTCAAATACTCATGAAGAAGAGCGTTTGTGCGTTTGCTGAGTTTGCAATTTCACCTCGGCACAGAATGTTTTTATGACGCCAGATTAATGTAAACACAGCCCACTGTGAACACCCTTGTAATTCGCTTTAACCTTTTCGAATTTTATGAATGATTATTTTAGGTTTGAGTGTGTGTAATGGTTAGTGGTCGATCGATATATATCGCCAAGGCAGATATATCGGCTGATATTTGGCATTTTTCAAATATCGGCATCGGCCGATACGTTTTTTTGTTTGGCCGATGTGTTCGAACTTTTATTTTGACGATGTCATTTTGACTGTGTGCAAATATTTGAAAAGAATATGATTTCCAATGCACACAAACTTCCCAGAATACTGAGTGCCCTGTTGATTACAGTGTTTACTTCCTTTTTAATTATATTTTTATTAAATATATTTATTTATTTGTGAAAAATACTTTGTCATCTAAAATAGAAATGTTTCACCTTTATTTTTTAATCAATTTTTCAAGCGCCATCTGCTGTTCAAAACTAAGCTCAGAATCGACTCGAGAAAGAATCGCGATGCCTTTGGAAAATCTCAGAATCGATGCTGAAACATTTCTCGATTCGCGATGCATCTATTTATTTTCCCAGCCCTACTGTTTATAGGTGACAAACAGATAGGGCTGTCACGATTATGAAAATTGGCTGATGATTAATTGTCTAAAAATTAGTCCTTCTACAGCTTCAGTTTCGGAACTTTCACGCTTAGTAACACATACAGCTGTTCCCTCACCACAGTGCAACGGTGACAAGGGACCCCTTTCAAACAGTGTCGTGTTCCGAACGTTGTTTAAGTGACATACACCGGTATTGCGGTATTTTCGAAATTCATATCATAACAAAAATAAACACCGGTATTCGGTATGAACCGGTATACCGCCCAGCACTAATACAGTGCATGAAAAGCAAACTGGTGCGCTTCTCTTTCTTTTGGTGTATGACTCCCCCTTGTGTCGTATAAAAGGCACAATAATCGCGGTTGTTTAATCGTGATTAGACGGTTATTTAATTATCGCGACAGGCCTACAAACAGACTCTTCTCAAAGCAGCACTGTTGATACAAGACTTAAGGATATAAATGTTCTTTGGGTGTGTGTGTGTGTGTGTGTGTGGAGTTGATGTGAGGATGCAGTCTGGCTTTCAAGGACACAATGAGAAAATAAAACACAGTTCTTACAGGCTCAGTCTCAGGTCTCTATAATATACTGATCCCTCCTTCAGTGCCCATCTATAGCTAACAGAGCACAACAGTCAGGTCCGGATGTAAAAATGCCATTCATTTTCTCTATGATTTTCCCTATGGAAAAAACTACATTACCCATGATGCTGTAAAGAGAATTCCACCAATCAGAGAGTCGCAGCGAGCAAATCAAAGGAGTGCTAAGCTCTGCTGTGAAGCAACAGAAATTATGGAATCAAGATAAAAAAGTTTGTCAAGACAAACTTCAAGTTGGCTTGAGAAAGCCGACCAGAAAGTTTGAAAAAGTTTAAAAAAGATTTAAGTGCAGTTGCTAGGGTACCCAGGGCGGTTGCTAGGGTGTTGCTATGCGGTTGCTAGGGTGTTGATATCCGGTTGCTAGGGTGCCCGGGGTAGTTGCTAAGGTGTTGCTATGTGGTTGCTAAGGTACCCAGGTTGGTGGCTAGGGTGTTGCTATACGGTTGCTAGGGTGCCCGGGGTGGTTGCTAGGGTGTCGCTCTTTCAAAACACTTTGAATATACACATGCATATTTTGCAATAAACTTAAAATATACTGTTTCTATATATACAGAATCATAACTTTAAATGGATAATTTTATATTTCTCCATTATTCATTTGAAATTTAGTCAAAGTCGTCAAAGTCTGCTTTATTGTCAATTCTGCTACATGTACAGCACATACATACAGAGAATTGAAATTGCGTTACTCTCAGACCCATGGTGCATACAGGTAACACTAAACACTAACAGTAGAATGTAAAAATACAGATAATTTAATTATGTCATTCACAATGGTTCATTGGATTGTAGTTCTTTTATTCACTAAAGCAATTAAGTACTTTGTCTTTTTCCCCTGATTGCCAAAGTTTGTACTGTTTTGACTCTCCTCGTAAACCTATGTTGAAAAAAAAAAAAAAAATAATAATAAAAAATACTTCCGGAACCATCTGACAGGCGGCTGCTTTCAAAGGCTACCGCATTTGTGTAAGGTTTCTTTTAGTCAAAGCGCACGACACTGACAAGGTACGCGATACAGTACGAGACCAAACGGTTTCTATTTACAATGTGTTTTTAACATGTAACCAATCACAGGTGTGTTTGTTGCATGTATAAACACAATTTTGTTCTATGTTTTCCAGTCAGAATCCACTATATGCCAGTTTGTTCAGCACGAGTGAATCCTTTGCTGTATCCAATACAGAAACACAATGTCAATAAGAGGTTCATTGTGCAGTAGAGACAAATGTTTTGATTATAACGGGAGTTTTACTGGTTTGGTACAGACAGCTGAAGTTTTGGTACTGTGAAAACACTAAGCACTTTTTAACAGTTTTAGTTAACCATGATCATATATAAATACTCACACACACAAACCCGATTCTATTCAGTGAAATCTACAGCAATGCTCAGTGTTTATAAAACCGTAAAACCGGTCTTATGACCCTCGTAACCCGAGCGAGACTGTCTGGCAGGGAAAGTCATTAACACCCACACAGCTGTAAAACATGGGCTTTCAGAGGCTCTTCTGTCTGCTGTCCTTTAGAGACACGAGTAATGAGCGTCCAGCGGTGCCAAACCCGCTCCACAGCCTACAGAGAAACACAGGACAAAAACTGACATCCAGCCAGTGCATAACTAGGTCATGTTTTGGGGCCGGATGAGGGACGACTGAGCGATCACATCACTAATGCAATGCAGGGGTCAGTCCACACACACACACACACACTCACACACACTCACACGCTCACACACACTCTCACACACACGCTCACACACACGCTCACACACACGCTCACACACACGCTCACACACACGCTCACACACACACTCACACACACACTCACACTCGCACACACTCACACTCACTCACACACACGCACACACACACGCACACACACACGCACACGCTCACGCTCACACACTCACACACTCACAAACACACACTTTTCCTCTGTTACACATGTGAAGCTTGTTCTTCTGGATGACGTTCACATTAGAGATCAAACAGAAGGGTGATGCCTTTAACCACCGATCTATTTCCAGAAGCTCTTCACAGTCAAATGACAAAAGCACACTGAGCCAGTCCGAGTAAATCATTAGGATTGAATGAAAGGCTCCTCTGATGGAAGATGCTGTTAAAAGAAGAAAGGGTTTCACACTGAGCACAGCTGGAGAATCAGCGCAGATCAGCCTGTGAGTCAGTCATTAGATATCACAAGATATCACTCAGTACTGTTATATGTGAGCCTGGAGCACAAAAGCAGTGTTAAGTCGCTGGGGTATATTTGTAGCAATAGCCACCAATACATTGTATGGGTCAAAATTATTGATTTTTCTTTTATGCCAAAAATCATTAGGATATTAAGTAAAGATCATGTTCCATGAAGACATTTTGTAAATTTCCTACCGTAAATATATCAAAACTTAATTTTTGATTAGTAATATGCATTGCTAAGAACAACTTTAAAGATGATTTTCTCAATATTTAGATTTTTTTGCACCCTCAGATTCCAGATTTTCAAATAGTTGTATCTCGGCCGAATATTGTCCGATCCTAACAAACCATACATCAATGGAAAGATTATTTATTCAGCTTTCAGATCTCAGTTTCAGAAAATTGACCCTAATGACTGGTTTTGTGCTCCAGGGTCACATTTAGGTTTGTCTGAATATGTTGATAAATATGTTGATGATTACTTCAATTAATTTTATATACCACATCTTGGCCAATCATCTTTTCCAAACAACTTGCAAACTTCAGTCTACATAAATGCATTAATAATAATAATAATAATAATAATAATAAGTACTATTACTAATATGTAATAATACTACTAATAATGCTATAATAAGTAATAATAAGTAATGTTATTTAAATAATGTAATATTGTATTATACTACCATATATACCATTTGCACATTATTATTAGTATTTCAAATAATGTATTATTACTAGTAATAATAATAAAATAAATGTGTTATATTACCATATAAACTATTTACACATTATTATTATTATTATTATTAAAATGTAAAACTGTACAACTACTACTACTTACGTTATTTCAATTAGTAAAAATAATAATGAAATATTGCATTCTAATATACACACACACACACATACTATTTGCATATTACTAATTTAACTTACATAATAATAATAATAATCATATAAATAATTTACACACTGATATTATTTTTATTACTTAATGTATTACTACTAATTATAAGTTATTTATAATTAGCAATATCAGCAACAAAATATTGTATTATATTACCATAGATACATCATCCTCATTATTATTATTATTATTATTATTATCATTATTATTAATTTTAAATAACCTAATACTCTGAAACCCATTGAGCAGAAATAGGTCAGATCTAAAGCAGCTGTATGGTGGGAAAGCAGAGGCTCAGGGTGTATTTCTCCATACAGCTGAAAACACTCCACTGCACCCACTGCATTCCTCTCTGTCCAGCATCAGCCTCCATTTGGGCTCAGATCTCACACCACAGGAGCTGCAGTCGCTGCAATCTCCTACGGTGTAGGAGGAAACAGCTGAAGAGTGTGAGAACAACAAATATAAACAGCAGACTGAGCACTTGACTACCAACAGATTCACCATGTGCTATTGGAGCCTGTGTAAAACTGTTATTACAGTTAGCTAAAACAGACACTAGGATGCAATTTTATTTGCATTTTATTTCAGCTAAAGTTTATTTTTCAACATCTCAATTTCATCTAGTTACAGAAACGGTGCAGAAATGCAGCTTATTTCATTCACACTGGAATAGATGCAATTCTACAACTGATCATCTAAGTGCGGGAAAACAAAACTCACCCTAACCAGATTTAAGGCTCTTTTCACACTGTATTAATGATCCAGAACCACATGCTTCATGAGCGTGAAAGCCGTAGTGAGTACTAGCAGCAGTTAATTCAAATCTGTATGAATTGCACTGCATGACTTTGTGGCGCATCAAGAAATTGAATTAGTAAATGTGTTTCCATTGTAGTTTGTGCATGTTTTCGTATTGCATGAAAAAATGTATGTGCGTGCCTCAACTGAGAGCATAAGTTTTTGTTTTTTTATCCGCATTTTAATATTTTACGTGCATTTTGGCATTTTCATCCAGCGCTTTTTTTAGTGCAATATTTCAAAATTTGCATAAAAACACATGGATGGAAACCAAAAATTACTAATCTAATTTCACACCAACACAACAAACTGAGCTCTAGTGCAAAATTGTCTGTACTGTGAACCTTAACCAATAGAGTAAAATTCTGTAAAACCTACAGACTTTAAGTTGGAAGAGATGATATTGCACATATAATGCTATTTATTCATAAATCAATAACACTGGAATTACAGAATCTATTAATCTTTGAGTTGGATACATGCATTAATGAATGAATGCATGCATTAATGAATGAATGAATGTTTATGGCTTGAATAGCTCTGCTCCCAACCACAAGAACATGGAAATAACATTTACTGTTCCTTTTGATCATACCACAAAAAAGTGGTGCTCTTTCTCAGTATTTTTGTACTGTTTTGCAGTAAAAAAAAAAGATTCTTAAATCAAAATATATCTACTTAAAAAACAAAATGACAAAAAAGAACTTAAATCAACGTGAAGTCAGTTTATGATTGAACAAACAAATATCGCCTAATAGGGTCATAAAAATCAACTTAATTCAGAGGGAAAATATATTTTATTGTCCATTGACGTGTTCTTGTTTTAGGCATAAACTTACTTAAGCATAAACTTTTTTTTTTTAAGTAAACAAGATATTTGTACTGAAAAACAAGAAAAATAGTGAGAAAGATATTCATTTTATGCAATGCATGCAACATTTAATGCCATGAATTCAAGACTTTCTGTTCTGATCTAATCATGCTTAAGGCCTTAAATTGTGGAAAGGCAAATTAAGACTTTTAAGACCCACAGGAACCCTGTTATTTCCCCATGTAAACAAAAATGTGAAGGCTGGCAAAGCCAAAGAGCAGAAAATCTCGCTTTAACTATGAAAACTAATTGTTCTGCCTTGTCAATGTCTCAGCCAATAAAATCAGCACCACATTATTGGCTTCTTCAAAAACATATTTGTGACCCATCCAGAATGGACAGCAAAACTAGGATATGTTGCAGCAGGTGCACTGAGCTGTCGGTCTCTGTAACGCCGAGGGCAGATATGCATTCGTAGACGATTGAGTGATTGTTTAAACTAGCAGTGCAGGCAGGGCTTTCCCAACCCCGGCTCTGGAGATTAAACCCACAGACGATCCCTCCCTCACGTGCTGAGAGCGCTGACATAATGAACTCCCAGCTGGAGAAAAAGCATGAATAAGTCCTCTATCATTCCAGCCAGACCCCCATCCAGAACCACATCCCCTCCTTCAAACCGTCCCAGTGCCCCGAAATATCCCTCACCCGGGGGAAGATGGAAAGAAAGGAAAGAGCTGTCGATTACAACATGTCACATGCTAGATCAGTGAAAGAGAGAGATGCATCAACCCCGGCTCTGGAGATTAAACCCACAGACGATCCCTCCCTCACGTGCTGAGAGCGCTGACATAATGAACTCCCAGCTGGAGAAAAAGCATGAATAAGTCCTCTATCATTCCAGCCAGACCCCCATCCAGAACCACATCCCCTCCTTCAAACCGTCCCAGTGCCCCGGAATATCCCTCACCCGGGGGAAGATGGAAAGAAAGGAAAGAGCTGTCGATTACAACATGTCACATGCTAGATCAGTGAGAGAGAGAGATGCATTACGCTCTACTTCCCCACTACAGAAAGAGCACTTAAACGAGCTCTATTATCACGGCAGATAGTGAGGACAGGGAAAAAAGGGCTAATTTGAGGCACTTCTGCTTTTGCTGCTTTCGTTTCATGTTTTTGATCTTACCTCTAATAAGAGCTCAACAATAGGCTGAGGTTTAAGATGAGAAAAGGCGTGGTAGCAATTAAAGAGAGATTAAACACTAATTCAGGACCCAAAAAGAATATAATCCTTCTAAGGGAACCGCCGCAAAGTTCCATTAGGGCTGCGATATGACTTCAAATGATTTTGAATATTTCTACACTTAAAAAATAAATCAAATAATAAATTACATTTATAAACAATTTTCAGAAATTCAACTCAGAAATTGCTTGAGAGCATAAGTCTAAGTGGACGTCTATGACATGCGGAGTCCCACAAGGCTCAATTCTTGCACCGCTCTTGTTTAGCCTGTATATGCTCCCACTGAGTCAAATAATGAGAAAGAACCAAATTGCCTATCACAGCTATGCTGATGATACCTATATTTACCTAGCCTTATCTCCAAATGACTACATACTTTGAATTACCATTGTGTATGAAATGTGCTATATAAATAAACTTGCCTTGCCTTGTAAATAAGTACAAAGAAACAGCAGGTAACATGTTGAATTAAATGTAACATTTTCAAGTAGAAAGACTTGAGATTGTATTTTCTTGTAAATTGTACTTTAATAGTCTGTTATTTACAACTTAAAATATTTTTTACAGTATAGTTGCACTACCATTCAAAAGTTTGGGGTCAGTATTTTTTAAAATCTTTTTGTAAGTTTGATGTTCGAGGCTGCATTTATTTGATCAAAAATACAGTAAAACAGTAATATTGTGAAGTATTACAATTTAAAGTACAATTAGTTTTCCATTTTAAATGCTGAATTTTCAAGAAAGATTTCTGCTTATTTTTTTTTTAAACAGTGCTGCTTCATATTTTTGATACTTTACGATACACTTTTTCAGGATTTTTTTTTTTTTTTGGATGAACAAAGTTCAAAAGAACAGGACTGCGTTTCCCAAAAGCATCGTAAGCTTAAGTACATCGTAGACACATTGAAACCAATGGAGCTTAAGATGCTTTTGGGAAACGCAGCCCTGAACTGATTTAAAAAATAAATATTTCGTAACATTATAAATGTTGTTACCGTCACTTTTTTTATCAATGCATACTTGTTGAATAAAAGAATAAATGACGTAAAATAATTATCTTTTAATGATCAAAATTATTATACTGGTAGCAATTGCTATTTGTAGGGTGAAAATAATTTGAAAAAAAATTAACTAGTGAAGAACAATCAGTTATTTAAAATTGTATTATTTGAATTATTTATAATTATTTTATTATATTACCATTCCTAGTTTCCATAAATAAAGTTTGAAGCTTTCAAAATAAAATATTGTCTTTGATAAAGGGGGCTATGGAGTCTAAAAGGTTCTACGTTGTTGGGTTACTAGCTTGTTAATGCAATCGATTTTGTAGACCAAGTCTGACTTGTCTGCATGCATTTATTCTCACTCGTGATGACCTTACGTGGCCTATCTGGACAGGTTTATAGACCCCAGGTGAACTCATCTGGACAGAAATGCTTATGCTGGTTATTGGGGTCACAGTTGAACATTTGCTTGAGCAGCAGGTTCTTGGTCTTGTCTTAGGATGCTAATCTGCCGGTGTAATCTATTATCTGCCTAATGGCCCCTCCGACCCCCCGGGGTCTTGGCAAGATGCGGTCAGAGCAGTTTTAATGCACCATATGAAGGCAATCAGCAGCTCACTGACAATTGCCGTCTAAAACAGGGCCGTGGATGTTATATTTCATCAGTTACTTGCTGATAAAACCTGGTGTGGTTTTAAACATGATCCCATTCGGTCACGCCCACTTTGCAATTACTAAAGGCTGGTCACTCTATAAAACAATTCAAATGTGTGCGGTCTCAGCTGACCTGCCAGTCTGACACAGCTATGTTCACTCTGCAGAAACCAACTGCTCCAGTTATTTATATTTATTTATTTAGAAGCAATTTGACTAATCCACTGCAGATTTAGGCTGTGCACAGCATGTGTGACCTAGCGTGCATCACAAATTATATTGAGCCTTGCTGTTAGTGGGATGGGTTTGTATCGACTGCTGAGATTTGTAGAGTCGTCACGATACCAGAGAGCTTGTATCCGGTGCACTTATGCTTATACATGCAGATTAGCCTAATTAAAACAGTGTCAAGAAAAAAGGAGTGTGTGTGTAAAGTGATGAGACAAAACAACAAACTACTGCAGATGGCCTGGTTTTTATCAGTCATAATTGCTGAAAACCACCCCAGCACAAACACTGTAAAGGGATGAACTGATAACACATGTCAGATTTCACGTATCACATGATAATATAAGGAGAGATGATAGATTTGGTGTCAAGGCAAAAAGCAAACACGCCTACCTGCCAATATTTCTATGTTTAATAGACGTGCATTTGTCTTTGTTTATTTTATTGCTGTTGTGTTTTTCATTAAAAATAATAATGTTTTTGTTTTAAAATAAGGGGAAAATCCAACAATCTTATTCAGGTTTATTTGCGTTACAACATCTGCAAATATGAATCCCTACACAACATGCATGAAAAATATATATTGTGGCCATGAATTAAAAATTAGTTGCTTTGCTTTATTAAATGATGGCCATGTACCAATTCATTCCCTTATTTCAATGAAATAAAAATAAAAATCAATGACCACAATTTAATAAAACGAGAATGAATTAAGTTATAAGAACTAATTCTTAATTGCTGGCCCAAGTAAATATATTTTTGTTGCATGTTATGTGCAACAACGTACATCACTTGTCATATTTTTGCTAACAAAACGTATATGTTCGACATAAACAAGAGTACCACTGTACTATTTTATTGTTGTGTTTTTCATTAAGAATAATAATGAATCCACCATTTACAAGCATTTATTTATTCAAAGACAGGGAAAGATGTAAAGATCGACCACTAAAGATAAACATAAGCGCTACAGAAACTGAGCGTCATTGACAAACATATTGTAAACGTGTGGTGCAATCAGTAACACTGCTGCTTAGGTTATTTTTTTTTTCTCAGTGGGAAAATCTCCTCGCTTTGAGCATCTGGATCAAAACTGAAGTATAATTTGGACTTTTGAAGTGTGCATGATGGAAATAGCAAGAATAACCTAAGCAAGTGAAACTAATGACACCTGTCTTGCTTTATAAAGTCCATGCACAAACTGTAAAACATAGTTATGCATGCAATAAATTCTGAACAATGTTGGCCAAAGTGGCAGAAAACTCCAATTTATTTTTTAACAATGCATTCTGGAAATTCCCCTTTTCTCTGGCTTGCATGTTTGGAGACAGCTGCTGGTGAAGGACAGTCGTGTGGGCAGATGATGAGCGATCTGAACTCAGTCCAGCCGAGCACATGCTATCGCTGGTGGGTGAGAGGATACGAGAGTGACCTCACTGCTCGTCCAAACCCAGTCGATTGATATAGATCGGCCTGCAGGGAGTCGCGGGAGTAAATGGGATTGGTGTTGACCAACGAACCCGTCGATACGGTCACGCACGCCGCGAGACAATCAACTCTTCCTCATCACAGTCCATTATTTCATGGCTTCTCTATTGCTCTTCCACAACAGGATTTGCATTATATCCCAATGCCAAAGTGCAAATGCTTTGACATACTTGTAGGGATTCAATGCACTTTGACAAAAAACCAAGAATTAGTTGCTGCTTGATCTTTTGAAAGATACGAGCGCAGAGCCATAATGAAATAATGCAGATCATCTGCTCCAAATTATATTAGTCGATGAATCCATCAAACTCCAGATCAAAACACAATGTCCGACGAGACGGAGCTGAATCCCATCGGCGCTCATTGTCTGGGAGAGGACATGGTTGAGTGGAAGCCAGAAATGTGTGACCCACTTCATGCCAAATGAAATCAACTGTCAGTGTGACCTTTCTAGAGCATCAAATCTGCTTCATATGACCACCAATGGGATGAAAACATTGGCTGAATTGGAGCACACACATCAGATATTGAGTAGGGCTGTGTGATATTGACCCAAAAAAAAATTCTCTATTTTTTGTGATTTTTTTTTGGATAATAATTAAACAATATTTTGTTTTTGTGCTTGTACCTTCGCTGGTTTAGGCCCATCATGGATAAATAAATATGACACTAAAACCGCCAATAAGTAATGGCAAGTCCATTAATGAGTGATTCTTGAGTGATTCATTGAATTATTCATCAAACGATTCATTCAAAATAGCTTATTCATTTAGAAATGAAGCAAACGGCTGACTTTATATATACAGTATATTATTGAATCATTGACTCAAATGATTTGTTCAAAAAATGATTAAATTATTCAGCAACACTGTGCTGTTCCGTTCCTGAATGAATATTACATTAGCAATATATATATTGATATTGATAAACTAAATGTTTGTTATAGGCAGGGCTGGTATTTACAGCTGGTCTCTTAATGAGGAGATTGAGTGATTCATTGAATCATTCATCAAACAACTCATTCAAAATGGCTGAATCATCATTGACTCAAATGATTCATTCAGAAACAGATTAATTTAGGAATGGAACATCGCTGTGTTTCTCTGAGATGCACAAATGTTTTTCTCCGGCTTTGTTTGGATCTCTTTTTGTTGGCAAAACAGAAAAAGGCAATATTCTGTCTAAAATGTAACTCCATCAATATTAACTTCATATTGTTTGAACGGTTGTATAAGTAAATATGACATTCGTGATCACACTCGTGCTAATTTTCAGGAAAACAGTCCTCTTGCTTGTGTGATATTACTTAACTATATCATATCTAATAAGAAACAAATACCCATACAGCAATATTTTTGTTTTCATAACTTGAATTATAAAAGGCATTCTATTTATATTCTAACAGGCTTCATTAAGCAGTAAATGCCTTTGGATTTTAAAGATGTGTTTTTGTTTGTTTGTTGCAAGTGACATACCTGATAATGTCAGCTTGCACATCGTTAAAACAACAATTAGAATATTATATAACTGTATAACTATACACTATATAGTAAAGATGATGAGCAGCAGAAATGCTTTGGCCCGTATAGGGGTGGAACGTTTCAACTTACTCACGGTTCGGTTCGTATCACGGTTTTGGTATAGTTTGGTATTTAGGCAAAAACTATACTGTCAAATAAAAATAAAGAAAATAAGAATAATCTATATAACTACAAGCAACAGCACAAATAAATACAATAGAGTAAAGATACAAATAAAATAAACAGTTTTTTAGGTAGGTCTAACATTAGTTTTCAGGTACAGACATTGAATAAAGTAATGAAATGTAAAACAGCATTGCATATTTGACTGTATAAATTAAAGACTAATCTTTATTAAAGTTACAAAAGCTATTCAATCAAGAGCAGTGAGTGATTTCTTTGTTGTTACTGTTTGATTAATATTAAGAAAGTGCTGTCACTTTAAGAGAAGCACTGATCCAGTGCACTGATACAGTACGTTCAGCCGGCTATGTCTGCTATATTACAAAGACACGCATTTTTACAATTTTTGTGTGAATTTGTCCATTTAAACACAATACTTCAGAGAGAGCTTAATATTTGTGCGCGTTCTGAGGCGCGGGTTTGCGAGCTTCGGATGAGCGCACGCACGAATCTTCTCACTGCGCGCGCGAGCTCGCGTTTTCTGGCTCTGAAATGTTTAAACTGGCAAAGCTTAAACGAGTTTAGCTCAAACACAGATATCAACGTGTGCTGTTCAGGTCTCACCTATGCGCGCACGCGCTATCTGCACCCGGGTGAAGACGGAATAAATGCTCATATTCCAGCATACGGCATTCGCATTGAACAAGAGTGAATGGTTTGTCCACGTTTTTATTTTTATTTTTTCCATCACTGTTGTTGTAATGTATTGGGAAGCCAGAATGTGCATCCATCAACAGAAACATAGGCCTATATTAGTCAAACCCTGTTTGTTTTACGTGTTATTTATAGCAAACCATATTACAGATGCGTTGTCAGATTTAAGATGAAACGCGGTCCTAGCGTGTGCCAAACCGTGTGTGGAGAACCGTACGGTTCGATTTTTTTCCACGAACCGTTCCACCCCTAGTCCCATAGCCCAAAGTTCACTGTTAATGTCAGCATTTGGCTGCAAGGGAAACCCAATATGCCAGTGCACATGCATGCATTACCACAATAACTCTGTGTGTGTGTGTGTGTGTGTGTGTGTGCGCGTGTGGATGCTGAACGTTGCTGGAATAGCGAGTGCTTACTGAGGCGTGCTCAGTTTCGCTCTGGGGGGTTTATAGGTGGATTAGTGCTCTTTGGTTTTCACTCACTCTTGTTTTCTCTCCGTGTACTCGTGTTCGTCTCGTATTTCAGAGTACTGCTCATTTACCTCCGCTGATCCTCGGGTCTGCGGTCTGAGCTCAGTCTCGATGTACTTTCTTAATTGGATAGGATGGGATTCCACCTCAATATTTAACAGCCTGACGTGATCCTGGCCATTGATTACGGAGTAAGGCACGGCACAGTTTATACTCACAAGCTTGCAAAATCACTAATGCACAGACTGAATGAGATCCTAACAGACTCGATAACCAATGACTTTTGATATCAACATCGGTGTTTGAACGGAGGCAAATACAGCAATCTGTCATGCCACATTAAATACATTGTTTGAATTTGAATTTGAAAGCAGACTTTGTTTCTTATCAAAATTAAAACACTAAGTTTATTATGGTTATTTGATGCGAGACACTCGACACTACGAATATTATTTAGTCAGGTTGGGAAGATTAAGTAAACAACTGGACAGAAAAAAACAGATTTAAAAGAAAAGTTCTAATTGGGGGATTGAAACTCTTGAAATCTGGCAACCGCCACCATGAATGCTGCTTGTTACCAATGCAAGATAATGCAAATGCCAAATTACAATGAAGTGCATTCAGGATTAATAACCAGCGGGCAAATATCGCAGATGATTATTCTTAATAAATCAAGGGAAGCAGAAATCGTGATCATGATTAAAATATTATTCATCGTGCAGCCCAGTCTGACCAGAACGAACACTGAACTGAATAGATCCGAATAATGTCTCTATTGTCTCCATAAGATGGGTTTCCATAAACAGGAAAATATCAGAATCATTTATCTCTGTGAAGCCGCTTTGACACAATCTGTATTATATAAAAAGCACTATAGAAAGGAGCACTGAATAAAAAGATCTACCTTGAGATTTAAAGTGCCCCTATTATGGATTTTTGAAAATAACCTTTCATGCAGTGTGTAACACAGCTCTAAGTGAATGAAAACATCCTGCAAAGTTTTAGATCTGAAAGTGCACCGTGTATAAAGTTATTGTCTCTCAAAAGAAAGAGTCGACTCTGAATCATTGAAACGAGTCTTTTTTTAAACGAATCCCAAGCCGTTTCATGTTGACGTCAACATGAAACATTAGCATATTGCCCGCCCACTTGTTGGTCTTTTCGCGTTGGTCTGAATGAAAATGCTAATTAAATCAATAAGCCCCAAGAAGCCTGTAGAGTAATTTACAACAGCTTCGAACGCGGCTCAGCCAATCAGAATCAAGGACCGGAACTCTCCGGAACTATTGCCACTAGGTGCCTCTTTTGGGGCCGGTTGCACCAGCTAGACGAAAAAAAGCTGGGTGTAAGCCCTACGCTGGGCTTTGCCATACACAAAGCAGCACTGCGCTCACAAACGCTGCTTTATCAGGCATCACAGGCATGTTCAAATCGGACCAATCACCGCAGATTAGCATCACGCAAAGGAGGGGTTTGGAAAAATTAATCGTTGAGCGAATCGTTTGGGAGTCGTTGAGCAAGTAAGGTAAAAATAAATGCATATTATAAGACAATGAAAGTGTTTTTTGACCTTGCATGCATGTCAACCTGTTGTTGGGGACTCCCAAAAACCAAAATATGAACCTTTCTTTACCCATAATAGGCACTTTAAGAATCGATATTGATTAGTTACTCACTATTCCAGAAGGAGCACCATCTCGCAGGCCGTCTCGTAGACCTGGTGGAGATTGACGACTCGTGGACAGGCCGCTGCCAGCTCCAGCACGCCGATCTCGTGAAGGATCTCCGTTCTGCAATCCTGGCCCTTCCTCCTCTTCCTCATGTACTTCGCTGCATATGTTTTCCCTGTGCTCTTCTCCACACACTTCCTCACCACAGCAAACTTTCCTCTGATGGGGAGAGAAAACCAGAGGAAGAATGCTTGTTAGCAGTTAGAAGATTTCACATCGACCTCATACTGCGATTGCAATAAAATTTATGTGGATGATGATGATGATAAGCTCTGGACATTTTGATTAATCTAAGCTGATCACACAGCAGAAATCAATCTGCAATAAATCTCCATGTTCTGTGTCTCTCTGTGTGAATGAGTGAGTGATGTAGTAACACGTGATGCTCGTCTCAATATATGAGGACATGAACTTCATCTCCAGAGCTGCTCCGAGTCACTCCAGCAGATTTACAGAGTTTAAATAAAATTAAGAAATAACAAATTTAAGTCAAACACACAATGAAACTCATAAACCTTCACTACAAACCACCAAAATAAAAGTTTGGTTTAACTTGAAGAAATTGTAACTAAAATATGTTACCAATGTATACTAAAATATACTTTTCAAAGAAATAATAATAATACTAATAATAATAATAATGATGATGATGATGATGATGATACTACTACTACTAATAATAATAATAATTATTATTATTATTATTATTAAACAAAAAATAGAATAGAATAGAATAGAATGAATATCATACAGCATGCATTTTATTTGAAAAATAAAAATAAATACGTTTTGTTGTAAATTTATTTTTATTTTTTATTTGATTACATTTTAAAAGCATGATTAATTTCCTATTTTAGTATTAAATTTGAAATCAGTTCAAACTCATTAAATCCAGAATCAATCAATAAATCAAACAAACAAAAACAGAATTTAGGGGGAAAATAAATGGATTTCATAGAGCCCTAAACTAAAGGGATCTTTTTAGGTGGAGTTTAATTGTGAACAAAAAAGGTATATTTACAATCATTCTCAAGGTCTAACAAACAAATGGAAAGCATTTCCTTAACCATTCAATGCTAAATTAATATGGTGATATATATTTACATCATTTCATATAAGGGGGGAAATATTGTGATAATATTTTTGGCCACATCCCCTAGCCGTAATTTCATGGTGGTCTCACAGAGCCTAATTAAATTCACAGGATGGCTTTAACTTGATCAAGAACCACCGACTTATCTCTTCTACGTGTAAAACTACTAACCAGTGACATTTAAGGGCAAGAAACTGAGAAACTGATCATAAAATGAAGCATGCAGGTGTTTTTACTCCACCGATCTGCTTCAGATATGCTGTAGTAGCAGGGCTCACGTTTCCTCGCATCCCACTGAAGAGCGCGGGTCACAAACACACACAAAACAACTCCGTTCAGGGCCCCTTTCCATTGGACTGAGAGAAAGACTGGAGCGTGAGGGTTTGAGGGACGTGAAAGGCTGCTGTGTGTCTAAAGATGGCACACTTGTTATCACCGCGGCTGAACGTGCTTTTGTCCCGGTGGCAAATTTGCAGTATGAAATCATCCCGAAGCCCAAGCTGACCCTCTGTGTCCCACTTTTAGTGCTGAACTTGAAGACGCAGGGCACATGAGGAGAGAAAACTCGAATACATGCTGGCAGACGAGGACACACGTGGCCTGAGAGGATTCTTGAGAAAGCGGTGTACTGAAACGACACCGTCCCGCTGAGCTGTGAACTAGGCTTGCTGCGATAGACGGTGTTTTTGGTTATACCGGTGTTAAGCTGCAACACCGGTTACGTCATTTGCCTACAGCGGCACCGCCCCCTGGAAGTGTTTTTAAATATTCGTTTCTTATTTCACAGAGCAGGAGTCAGATTTTATTTATCACGTGAGGAGAGTGAGTCGAGCTGACTGACATGAGTGAGGTGAGAAAGACAAGACGATGGCAGAAGATTGTTTAGAAAGGAAATGCAAAGGCGCCTGTTTGGCAATATTTTAGATTTTGAAAAGCCTATTGACTGGAAGTTTTTTTAAACATTCTTTCTTATTTATTTGGTTCTACAGTGTTTGCTGATTACTTTATTTAAACTTTGTGTATTTTATTTATTTTATTTTACATCAAGGTGTATATGCCGTGCCTCCAAGCTTTCTTATTCGTTTTGCTAATAAACGCACTATGTTTCTTATTTATTTGGTTCCACAGTGTTTGCTGATTTTCAGTTTTATATACCTATTTAAACTTTGTGTAGCCTAAGTAATTTGTTATTTTATTAGGGATACATGGTGTATTTTTATTTGTTTTATTAATAAAAGTTCTGAGTTTGACGTTGTTGTTGCTTGAATTTAATCAACACCGAATTGCCTCTAATTTGAAAGTGAAAGTAAGATGCGCACGGCACTTTTACAAGCCATTTGAAAGTGAAGAAAAGAGGGAAGCTCAAACTAACTAATTCGAAAATGCACTGCACAGATTTAGGATGAACCGTGTCATTTCTGTACCAGCCACAGCAGGACTTTTATATTATGCACAAACAGAGAACCCCATTCTCAAACCCAGGTTACTGGTTCAGCCAGAAGCTGACATGACAAGCCATCGAAGCACAAAGTCAGTCAAAAAAGTGATTGATTTAATTGATATTTAATTCAATTCTATCAGCCAGAGAGAGAGAGTGAGAATTCTTAATTGACTCAATTCCAAACTCTTTTTTTCCCCCTTTGAACTATTCTGCACTGAAAAATGTGAACAGTGAGACCAGAATGGCAAAAACTTATTATTATTATTAAACTAACAAAATATTATGATAAAGACAAATGTCTTATTACAATACAAAAACAACAACAAAAATAAAGACAAATATCTTATTATATTACAATAATAATAATAATAATAATAATATTTTTATTATTATAAATAATAAACAAACAACACCAACAACAACATATGGCTTTACTATATTATTTTTTTATTAAATACTTACATAAGGTAAATATTTTAATTAAATTGAACTGTAATAAAAGCAATTCCAAACTAAATTTTAAATTCTTAATTTATGATAATCTGACAAATTTGACAAAAGACTTGGCGGCCGACTAAAGAGCGACTAGACTAAAGCAATAAGCGGCAAAAACCTAAAACCCCTTAGCTGTTATAAATTCACTGTAAACCACGGCTTCACGGGGCTTATTGCTTTTATAAAACGGTTATTCCATATACGTAGTAAGGTTTCACAAAATAAAACAGAGCAAATAAAGTGTAATGATATTAATAAAAACAGTATTCTTCCACCAAACAATGTAGCTCCTCAGAAACAGTTGTGGCTGTAACAAAGTGGTTGCCGAGCAACACACAAACGTAAACAAAGGTGTTGTTACTTTGTAGAGTCATTTACAACAGCTTCGAACGCGGCTCAGCCAATCAGAATCAAGCACCTGAACTATCCGCTTTATAAAAATCCTTAAAACAGACTCAAGAGTGATTTGAAATGCAGCAGGTGAAGTCTCAAACGCGCCTGAGCCGCGTGGCATGTGAAACGCGGCAGACACACGGCTCTTGCGAGAGGGGATCCACAATTCCAGCGTGATGTCCCGAGTTATTCACAACTGCTCCATTCTCAGGGCAGAAGACACGTCTCTGGAGGCTGACAGTATCAGATGTTGGCCAAGGACAGGCCCATAGACAAAATGAGTGAAGTGCAATTCCAGCACATCCTCCAATGTACTGCAAGATCAGCAGAACATCTTGAGCATAAGCCAAAGTGAAAGCAAGGTGGATCTGCTAAAGCATCCGTGTTATAACCATAACTGACCAGCTCATGTGATAGTCACGGGTTCAGGAAAGGACGTTTTCCTTATTTCCATCCCCATTCTGTCCAGATCTCCTCAGATTTACTACACACAGCTGGGACTGCCTTCCTCATTCCTTCAAAAAATGTGGAGATTAATGGGTAAGTGGGAGAAAAATGTCCTTGTTCTGAGCTGGCCCAATGAAATCTGGCTGTAAAGTTAAGCATCTCTGTAATGGGTTTCTTCACGACAGGAAGATTTTCATTTGGTCATTTGATATGCGAACAAACCCATCCAACACGTGACCCATGGAAAAGACAAGATGTTACAAGATGCTCTTTTTGTCCACATCAAGGTGCAGCAAAAGGATCAGTGATCAATTCAGAATCAACTATAGAATTTCAGTAAAGGAATAGTTACGTCTTCAAGATATTATATTAACTGAATATTTCAGCTGTTTTCTGTCCATAAGAGTCAGTGGGGTCCAAAAGTCTCAGGCTCCAAAGAGGACAAAGGTAGCGTCATTTTTTGTTTTGTTTTTGAAAGTCTCTTCTGCTCACCAAGGCTGCATTTATTTGATAAAAAATACAGTAAAAACTGCAAAATTGTGAAATGTTATTACAATTTAAAATAACTGTTTTGCACATGAATATCTATTAAACTGTAATTTATTTCTGTGATGCGCAGCTGTATTTTCAGCATCATTACTGCAGTCTTCAGAGTCACATGATCTTCAGAAATCATTCTAATATGCTGATTTGCTGCTCAAGAAACATTTCTGATTATTATCAATGTTGAAAACAGTTGTGCTGCACAATAGTTTTGTGGACACCGTGACATTTTATTTTTCAGAATTCACAGATTAATAGAAAGTTCAAAAGAACAGCATTTATTTGAAAACAAAAACTTTGTAACATTATTAATGACTTCACTGTCACTTTTGATCAATTTAATGCATCCTTGCTAAACAAATTTCTGAATGCAAACTGATTTTTAATTCAGGTCACAAACTGGATGTAGAATTGCAAGTCAAAAATTTAATAAGAGGTATTAAAATTAACTGAAAATTTAAAAAAGCATTTATTTTGTATTAAAAAAGCTGTTTAAAATGTATTAACATGTATAGGAGTATTAAAAAGTAAAAATGTAGGTTTTGAAAAACAACAGACAGACAGACAGACAGATAGACAGACAGATAGACAGATAGATAGACAGATAGGACTTCAAACTTCTGAATGGCAGTGTATATGCATGTCAAAATCCAATATGGTGACAATAATGTCAATGATGTTATTCATATAACACCAAATTGGATTTTGGCATACAATATCAGCCAATAGCTGATATGGTGTATTGTG